GCCTGTTGCCGACGGCCACTTATTCTTGCTGGAATACTGAATACGAAAAAAGAGGTGCAGCCTATTTAGGAGGCTGCTCGTATAGTACAGCACGTCTGCCGTCTCCATGGTTATTCATGTTCCAGAGGTGCTGTCATGCCATACAGCCCTCGGGCAAGAGCCGCGTTATGTAAATATGCTAATCAGAGGCCGGGAGGCAGTGCCCAGAAGTAGATGTCGCGACGCACTTATACTGCCGCAAGTTAGAAGATAATGGAATATGCTCAATTTAGCTGTCTCAAAGTTAGGAATTGCGAAGCTAGATTGTGAGATCGCTCTGACCGCAATGTGCGCGTCTCGTGTATGTATAGCGTACAGGGTATAATGTGTGTGTGGGAGCATAGCTTGCATCCCCCTTTCCTGTTTCTCGTTTTTTTTTTCTAGTCTGTGTCTTACATTGAAGCCTATTATAAGCATGAAGCATTAATACCTTGCGTGTTTAGATCAACATCTAGCTTACCTTTAGCGTATACATCTAAGAATACTAACATTGTTACACCGATTCTGGATCAATGATGTCAAGCTTCTATTAAACATCAGAGCATACGTTTTCTATTGCTATACATACTAACCCTTTTAAGAATAATTCTTGGTGTGCATGTGTATATCACATCTGTACTTAAAGACCCGCGTTGTGTACGAGTTCAAGCAGCGTTTTGCAATATCTGTTGGCATGCATCTAACGATCACGGTGAATGCTCCGCAACGGAGGCAGGTTTGCGTATGCTTGTACTAAAGGAAGCCTCTCGTACCATAAGGGGTACTTTCGAGTGCCTCATGCGTTATAGTAGGCTCTCAGTACCTCATTGCTTATTCTGCTTTAATTGTTTTGGTCGTTGCTGCCAAATCCTACGTCGTGCTCCTCCAATTTATCACCTACCGCGTTGGAGATACTGGAGCCGTTTTCTGTTTATCTAATCGCCCTTTCACATCTTCCGCATCGGTTTCCATCTATCGATGAAATCGATCAACCTTTGCACCAACCAGCAAACAGCGATTCATTACCAGATGTCGGACCCCCCACTGCCTTGATATAGCCGTCCCAGCGAAAGGCTGAAATCGCTTCTCACGTATTAACAAGTCATTTACATTGACATAGCCGCTCTTGTTTGATAGTGGGGCGCTTTCATAATACTCATCGTAAAATCCTTGGCCTCGGGGAGCAGGCTGGTACGAGTCCAAAAGATTAGCGCATTTTAATTTTACATTGACGCCATTGGCACGTGCAAGAAAAAAATTAAGAGGGGGGAGGTAGCAGCAAATACACGCGTTTGCTTCGGGATATGTCCTTCGGCAGGAAATGATTTCGGCATGCATAAGCTCAAACAAGATAGAGAGAGAGAGAGAGAGAATAACGATGGAAATAGTTATGAAAGTGCGCCCAAATTGAACTGGCTTCGAGGCCTCGCTTGTTGTCAAGCTGTCAGCTTAGCAGTTAAGTAATCACAGTTGGCACTGGATGTAAAAGATTGCTATAGTGAAATCAAGATTTCACAAGTGAAGAATAAAAAGTGTTTACATACGGCAAAAAACACATCCGTTAAAAAGCCATGTACCGTAATTTGTTATATAAAAAAAAACACCAGGTCTGCGCGGAAGGTGCCGCACAGTCACAGCGAAAGCTATAGAACTGCGGCGTTTCAGAGCCTTTTCAAAACACTCATTGGGTAACTACTGCAAGCACACCTGCTTGGTGCCCACTAGGGCAATAATAATAAACTTTTGGGTCGCAGGCCGGCATTCGCTATGCTATTTTTCGTCATTCCTCTGAGAAGCGTGGTATCCGCTGAACATTCGCGAAGAATTTTGTGCCAATTGTCCATGCCGTGGCTGACGATGGTGAGAGAGATAGAGAGAGAGAGATTGTGGTTATAAAAGGAAAAAGAGAAAAGTGAGCCCCGTAACTGTCTACATCTGGTGCGGCACCTCAACAGTGGCTCACATGAGATGGGGGTAAGGAGTGAGTCAACGGATAGAATTAAAGGTAGAGAGAGAGAGAGAGAGAGAGAGAGAGAGAGAGAGAGATGCACAGGGACAGCGAGCGATGACATAAGAGAGATAGGAAAGATAAAACACGGTCACAGGAGTCCGAGGACGGGGCACCACTTGCGAGAGCTCTTGTCGGTGACAGGAGATAGCGTAGGGCTAATCCAGTCGGCCAGAGCTGCGCTTTCGTCGGAGATCACGAGGGCACAACTGGTCGGCACGGAATCCAGCAAGCGAGTCGCTGACGACGACGAGGAATTATGGCTGTAGTGGGTGATAACTTTCTTCGTGTTGTTATTTGGTGAATATTCACACGCGGAAGTCGATATCCCCACGTAGGGGAGCATTCGGCACCAAACCACCTAAGACACCTGATGGTGTTCGTGCGTTTAGTTTACGCGAGCGTACTCCACCCAGTCTAAACGTAGACTCAGTGTGCTCTCATTTTATTATTTATTTGCTTTTCCGAGTCGCATAAGCTTGTTTTAGAAGTTCTTGACTCTCAGCAACCATAGGTGGATCGCGGATAAGCTGATACGCACTCTGCGACAGTGAGCGATGACCCATGTGTTTCTTTAAAGAAAAAAATAAACGAGAAAAAAAAGGGCGCCAAATATTCACGGCCATATGTTGTAATACTACTCCGTCTTCCTTTAATACATGCGCTTCCATGCGTTTGCAGCTTGTTCCATCCATGAGTCTTAATCGATTGCAAAAGAAAGAAGAAAAAAATTTAGTGCCTATACGCCAAACAGTGGAGGCACCATAATGTAGCCAAGACGAGGCCTACCGGTTGTGCTCACTTTCCCAAACAAATACGCACGAAATGCAATTTATATTGCCCGCATTCATGGGAGTCATGAAAGCGAAGTCGCTGCCATCTCGAGCGAGTATTACAGAGACGTGAGCCAGATGGCTGTGTGTTACGCCTTCGCGAGCCTTGAAAACAGGAACATGTTAATTCCCACAACACCAATTAGTGGTTGGCAAGTTACTGCTCCGCGTGGTCGAGCCGTAATCTCTCGCTTAATCTGGCTCTCGCTTATTCTGGCTATCAATTCTGGTTTTACAGACGCACAAGCACGTGCGAACAGTGTTGTATAGTGAATAAAGCAGCTGCCAGGGACTCGCGTGAACTATTACGCAAGTGTCTGTTTTTTCATTTAAATCTAACGAACACGTCTTTTTTTTTCGTTACCACATGGGAACTTATTCTGCACGTGAATATACACACGTATATTGGCCGGCTTATATACGAGAGGAGAACGCGAAACGACCGCAAGGCACTTTTCAGAGTTGCATAGCCTACGAATTTCAAGCAGCTGCAGTTCCGGCGACCTGCGTTCGAGGGAGCCACTATCTTATCCTCCATAATTGCAGTAGGTGAGCAGTGAAAGCAGTACAGTAAAATAAAGAAGTGGCTGCGCATTATTTACACACGTTCATGCTTAGATGAACATAAAACAGCTCAGCCATAAAACCACCTCGAACTATTGCATACACTATGTACGCTATCGTCCATTGCCATTGGAGATGCGATAGAATATTATACAGTGTAACAGAACACAATTTTGTTCTCATGTTCTACAGACGTATAGTATGTTGAACGCGCTTTATAAGTACTAAATATCAGAGTGGTCCCGACTAATCATCAGAAGTAAGTGAAGGCACTCTCATAAGCATGCAAAGAGTTCGCCTTGTAGGGCGACGAAGGTTCATCGTAGTGCACCCCCCGCCCCCAATTAAATGAATGTATGGGGCATACTTTGCCGCCTTTTCCTCTTAAATGACTAGCCAGAAGATAGCGTCCTCTACCCCCCCGCCCCTCTCTATGCGCACACCTATGAGCATTCTCGTGACTTTTATAGATGAGCTTAACAGTAACGTTCAATTACCGCCAGTCAAGTTATTTTCTCTTTCATAATATTCTATACCTGGCCTCCACCAACAGTTGGCCTTTTTCGTACACTTACGTCACATTGTTCATAGGCAGAACGCGAAGACTCGATAAGGGAAAGCAACCTACGTGACATTGACTTCAACAGTGCCCAAAAATAAAAGCAGAAGCTATGCGGAACAAAGATTGTTATTTTGTGATTACCGGAGTGCACAATTGTTGTATGAGGCTAAGGCGTATCGTGTATAGCGTGCATCCGTGTTTTCGTATGGAAAGCGTTTCGCTATAATAATACTTCGTTCATTGCGGCAGAAACTGGCCCAGCTTTGCTTAATTAGGAGTTATGGTAAGCTATAAAAAAATCCTCGCTATAGAATCAGAGGAGAAAAATCAGCAACGCTTTTCGAAGCATGTCCCTCTTTCGATTTCATCTGCAAACTTCCATATAAGTTCTCGATTTCTTGTTGTCTACAATAATCATCAAAATATAATCTCGGTCATTCTGAGAAAGCCATGCAAAAGCCATGCTCTTAACATTCGAAGTGTTCTTCCTGGCGTACCAGAGCAAGCCTCCGTGGTGAATTCGGTTATCACCTTTAAGGATACGAGGGCTTTTCACTCGCAAATGTTCTCATATACATTGTGAAGTGGCCCTAAATCAAAGTGGCTTGTTTTTTCTCCTTAACCACTTTATTCAGGAGGATTGAGGGTTCCGAAATACAACGCCTCTATTTGGGTATCTCTATTCTCATATAAATACGCATACCTACCCCTCTCTGCCCTCAGCAGCTAAATGATAATCTACGCTTTCCCTCGTTCGGCTTCCTGTCATGCGCTTTTCGCTCAACCGGCAATGATTTCCACGGCTTTTCGATCACACTGCAAATGAGCGCGTGTGAACTTCAAGCTTTCGCAACATAACAGGAGACATCCTGGCGCAACCTTCGAGCGTTCAAAAGGCTACGTAACAACCGGAACACGAGAAACACGCAACTCGCAAAGCTCCCATAGGCGTGTCACTCGATCCGTGTCGATTCTTCAGGAGAAAGACGTCGGTTATCGTTTCCTTCGCAGCGCACCGGAACCACAAGAGGCGTACATCGGCGTCGAGCAACTCCATGGAGCTGTGCCGACTACGTCACGTGCCCAGCTGGCTGCTGGTGCTCTCCCTGATGGTGAACAGTGTGTTGCCGCAGTTGTTCCCGCTTCAGGCGTGTCCCTACAACGACCCCCGCCACAGCATATGCCGCTACCGAGCCCTAGCCTGTCCGGGCAAGCAGTTGCTACGTGAGTACACCGCGTGTTATCTTTGATTGTCCCATCAGGGGTGTACAGTTAGCAAAAATTGAAACGGGAACAGCAACAAACGTCTGCCACGCGTAATTGTACATAAAGGTGTGGCATGTAATCTCCCAGTAGATTGGTTCTACCTATGAGCTAGTCAAATTGGTCCAGTTTGAAATTTCAATTGAGCAGCTCTTACAAATGCTAATCAAACTGAAAAGACAAACTCGAATTGAAGTTTACAAAACCATTGGGAGTTCACGTCCCAAACCAACGATGGTTACGAGGGACGACAAAGTAAAGAGCGCCGCAAACTTGGACTACCTCGGGTTCCATTGAAATTTTGCCGCCTTGGCTGGTATTAGCGTGACGTTCGCGAGGGCAGTAGATCATCATCACCACTGGTCCACCACAGCAGGTGCGAATAAGAGTAGTGTCGGTATGATGCACTTTTGAATTTATGCTGACCCATGGACGATTCTATAGTTATGCAAATTTAGCACCATGCACCGAGAAGGTGTAGACACGTGATTAAAGCATCAAGGGATTTTTCTGCCAGTATGCTCCAGCTGACATTTTTCGTAATGTTAAATGTAGTAATTTGTGCCCTAGGACCTAGCTTCAGTCTCCGAGGCCCAAAATTGAAATTGTCAAGAAGTATGTGAAGTGCCTCTCCTCAGCCAGCGCCTGTGTGTCATGTTTTGGGGGTTTCCTAATTATTTTTGCGCTTATGTTCTCAAGGCCATGAAGGCTGTTCCTTAAACGGAAGTTTTCTCACGAAAATATGGTCTTCATTCCACAGTTTCAGCCATTTTGAAAGTGCTGGGCAGATATTCCCGTGTTGAATGCTTCGGTACTGACAAGACAAGAAGCCGGCGGTTTCATGAATGTTCAGAAATGCAGCCACAGGAGACAAATTAGTCTGAGCTAGCCATCATTTGTTCATGCACCGCAGCAAATAATTTTCGTGCCAAAGCTTTGTTTACAATTCCTCAGGGTATCGCTTTCCCATTGTTCAGCGCAATGTTGCGCTGACAGCACGTTATTAAACGACGAGTACTTCATAATACACACCTTGATCGTTTCCTTGCGAATGTAAATACACAAAACAATTCGAGAAGAACTGACAGATACATCAGAATTGACCCGACGTTCCACCTCAACGACCTTCAACTTTCAAATGCAATACAGAGTCGTCGCCGATGTCGCACGCACAACTTTTGATACCGTCATACCTGTCCTTCTTGCCTCCGATGCGCATGTGTGCAGTGTACGTCGGGTCTTGCCAGCGCCGCTGGCAGGCAGAGCGGTCAAAGCCGCGCGACGCAGCCCCGTCCCATTCATAAAGAGCCCCACAGGGCAACCACATGGACAAGCACGAAGACATCGTCCCCTCGGGGTGATTACGTCATTTCGAGACTCGAACGAAGGTCGTTCAGCTGCCGTCGTTCCAATAAATATTATTCTCGAGCCACTGTATTCTGAACAGCGTGCCCATTCGAGGGCTCTGTTCGGTCGTAACACCATGGAGCCAATCACGAAGGGTCAAGAGGGCTCCGCAACCAAGTCCGCCCATCACCCGAACTCTTCGCGTAGTCGTGTTATGTACATACAGAATGCTGCCAGAAGGTGTTGGACGCTGAGCGGAGAGCTGTGCATCGGCATTCGCGTCTCGACAAGAAAGCCATTGGTCATATGACTCCTCGCACCCGCTGATGTTGTGATGTTATTGGCGCTGAGAGGTGCCGGAGTGTCTGCTTACGCGTTTATGTGAATGTAATAGAATATGTAAATGAGATGTTGTGACCTTAACGATCGACTGCACCTGCCATATATCGGCATCGTTCTTTTTTTTACTTTAATTGAAGTGATGGAATAGCAGAACTTGGCACCTTTTCGTGGCACCAGCTGAGTCTCGTTGCTTAGCAAAAGTGAATGGTATGAAAGGAAACTTCAAATGAATTTAACTATATAATTGATTGGGGTAGCATTCATGTTTAGCTCAAGTGAGCTCACTAACAGCAGGCTCTACACGTACGTCATAGCAGAGATCCACGAACGTATACCTCGAAGGAGAGTTTACGCGATAATTTTAAAAGAGGGAAGTAGAAAAGTTGACCGAATAATCGTCCCTTTCACTATTCGATACAAAGATGAAGAAAAGAAGTGCAGAAAGATGAGAGAAAAAAGTATAACCAAACGCACACGCAAATAAAATGGTATACAGGCCAGCTGAAGTTTCTTCAACGGAAATTGACAACTACCTGAGATAGTGACTGTAGCAACAACGAAAGATATTGTTGGCACCCCTTTGTGGTGCCAATATATATATATATATATATATATATATATATATATATATATATATATATATATATATATATATATATATATATATATATATATATATATATATATCTGCATTTCCGATGGAGGCGGAAATGTTGTAGGCCCGTGTGCTCAGATTTGGGTGCACGTTAAAGAACCCCAGGTGGTCTAAATTTCCGGAGCCCTCCACTACGGCGTCTCTCATAATCATATGATGGTTTTGGGGCGTTAAACCCCACAAATCAATTTATATATATATATATATATATATATATATATATATATATATATATATATATATATATATATATATATATATATAATCTGTTTGGCTGTCATTTTTATAGTCCTTAAACGCTGCCATGCGAGTGGTACCCCATCTCTTCGCTGCTAAGTCCTTTTCATGAAAATAACAAATCGATCAGTACTGATCTTTGAGGCCTGCTTCTGACAACAGTAAACTAAAAGGTGCGCTTATTATGAAAACTTAGACTGCGCTTGGGAAGAAGCCCCAGAGTAGAAGTAACCAGAATACCACGCTTATTACTTTTTCATTGATATGTGGGATTCAACGTCCCAAAACCACCATATGAGAGACGCCTTAGTGGAGGGCTCCGGAAATTTCGACCACCTGGGGTTCTTTAACGTGCACCCAAATCTGAGCACACGGGCCTACAACATTTCCGCCTCCATCGGAAATGCAGCCGCCACATCCGGGATTCGAGCCCGCGACCTGCGGGTCAGCAGCCGAGTACCTTAGCCACTAGACCACCGCGGCGGGGCCTTATTACTTCTAGGGGTGTTCAAATTTGACGAGGGACATGCAGGATGTAGCACAGATTAAGCAAGGTAGAGCGGTCAGTGTAGCTGATGTGTAGTTTCCACAACCCTGTCGCGAGTTTGTTGGCGCATCAATTGATCAATTAGGCCGACAGCCAGCAAAGGGCCACGACCTTATCGCAGTCAGCGCGAAGGGAAAATATGCGCGCCCTCTGTCGTTCTTCATAAACAGCGAGAAAGAGCAATGCTGCAGACGCACGGGGTCATGCACTCTCGTCGGGTCCTTGATGGATCGCCCTTTTCCAATGAATGCGGACGTCGTCACAAACAAGGAAAGCCCCTGGGAATGACTTCTTATATCTTAATACGCAAATTTAATCGCCATAACTAGGATGCAGGCGATATAGCACCAAGAAGAGTGCAAGCGTGGAAGCCTGGGCGCGTTGGTTGCATACCACGCGGCTAGTTTGTATGTGACGATCAATTTAGAAAAAAAAAACGCACTAGAGTGAAACAAGCCCACTTTTCAGTCTGTTATTTTCTTATTTATTCCTAAATTGATTTGGCGTTACCCACAAAACCATGAGAGGAGACAAAAGAAATACCCAATTCCTAACGAACAGTGCAGACAAAACAATTCTGTGATACTTATCTGTTCACCTTGAGGAGAATGAAGATAAGAAGATATATATCTCCCTCAAAATGATAATAAGAAAGAGCCCTCAATTGGGATAATATTTCGCTTCGTGTTAGTGCATGTGGCCACACAGCATGCGTGCTACAAAAATAAAGGAAAGACATCTTTACTTTGCGTATTTTTGCCATTTTTATTAGTTATGCATGTTTAACACAGGGGAGTGTTAGTATACATCACATATGGTACTGTTGTCAACCGTCTGTCGCCACGCCGCAGTCTCACTTGCCCAATAGGTTAGGTGCGCCTCTATTAGAGCGCTATAGTCAAATGAAACAAAGAATTATGTTATCCACTTCTCCGACATTCGAATGTGCTACGTTGAACCCATTTCCCATCGACAATGCGCAAGTGTCTCGTTCCTCTTGCTTAACCGTGTGTATCACTGTGAGATAAAGAACGCCCTTATATGAAAGGCCCCTTCTTCCTACAGGTTCGGGAGGTGTGACCAAAGCACAGCAGGTTCACATCGTGGACCTGCACAACCAGCTCAGGGCATGGGTTGCGGGCGGATTCCAGAGTGGCCTTCCAGCTGCTGCCAACATGAGGGCGCTGGTGAGTGAAAGTGTGTAATACTGTGGAGCGTGTTCAAAAGCAGCGACCACCTCAAACACGCCGGCCACTACCACACTTCCATCACGGATAGTGCACCTACGCTTGGAAAACAATACATGCGAACGCACTTATATTGTTCGCGAAAATCAAGGCGCCAGGCTCGGGAAGAATCTGTTACTGCACACTGAATTATTAACTGGGAGTGTTTATGGCGTTCATGTATGCGATTCCTCGGATTTGGCTGAGGCACTATGAGGAATGACACCAGGACCTCCGACATGAAAGGTTTAATCTTGCCGTCATAGGCGCCAATTTGCTAAAGAGAAGTTGTGGAAGTGTGGTAGTATGGGGAGAGGGGTGCTCTTTTTTTTTCTTCTTTTTCTTTTGCTACAGTATTAACACGGTTGTCCTTTCTTCTCCCGCCCACGTGTGCTTAGTTTAAATTGTTGGGGTTCAGTGTCCCAAAACCATCATATGATTATGAAAGAGACCGTGGCGTAAAAGTCCGGAAATTTTGACCACCTGAAGTTCTTTAACGTGCTCCTTATTATAAGCACATGGGCCGAGAGCATTTCCACCTCTATCGAAAATGCGGACGTCATTGGTTCAACGTTGAAAAAAGCGACATTGCTGTATTTTTTCGGGTACAGTTTTATGTCTGGTCGTGTTTTTTTTTCTGTTTCTGTTGCTCACACTAAAAAAAAATTGACGACATCTTCCCAAAGGAAACCCTGATGAGATGCGAAGCAGCAGCGTTGTGCATGGCGATTCGGCGAAGGGCGCGCGGAGCTTTCGAGACGTTGCCGACGACAACGTTGGTATTCCGCTGTAGGCGCGTCCACTCGGCTTCCTTGGCTCGCCCCTCGTCGGTGTCGTTGGTCCTCCACTGCCGACGCTAGCGTTCAGCTTCCGTAGCTCGCGCCTCACCGGTGTTGCAGGCGCGATATCGCCATTCGCGAACGCGATCGCCTCCGCTAAACCTTGCAACGCCGTCAATGACCGGGTTTCACTAAATCACTTCGGCGCATGTTTCGGCGGGTGAAGGAGCTCTCCATCTTCCCCTGCATCGCAGATGAACAGCCGAAAGAGTGTTCATTCGATCTGCGCTCAAACGTTGTCACCCGTGGAGAGGGTGAAGCGAGAGACAGGTGACACGCGGCGAGCGCGCGGCAGGTGGGGGGAGAGAGTGACGTCACCGCGCACTGCGAGGACTGGCGTACGTGACCTACTTGGCACCACCCCAACACCTGCGGCGATAAGAGCGCGGTGCGGCGCGTTGGCACTGCGTACGGACAGTGTTACACAGGCTAGTCAAAGAGCTGCTTCGCATCTAAACAAAGAATGAAATATTACCAGTTGCTCTACTTGGCGAGTACAGAATTCCCTCAGACATATCTCTTAATATATACTTTAACTCTCCCGGAGAGTCGCGCCTCCCACAACTATTTCAAGACAGAACAATTATCCCCAAGTTAGAGTTAACGTGAATGTTTAAAAACTGTTTTGTATGTGGCAAGCCAGTACTCACCAAAAAGTCTTTTTTCTCACTTTAAGATACGTTATTTGCCTTGAGTAAACCTATAGCTGCACCGAAGGCAGCTAACTTTTCAGTGCTCACAAGTAAGGAAACCTAGAATTTCCACGGCGTTGAGTTCTCACAGGTATCTAGTGCTTTGCATATTTCATTCCTGGCACGCATTCCGGTGCCAATTTGTAAGCAGACTACGAGTCTATTGATCAGATACCTACCACGACAAGACCATCGGATTGCGATACTTCACTGTCAGCGGCAACGCAGCCCGAAATCGCCTGCCACGCTTTTCTTAGAAAATTAAACGTCTTCAGTAAGTGAAACGGACAGGCAACGAGGAAAATATCCGGATAAAAAAGGGGGAAAAAAAAGTCGATCGACAACAGCGAACAGTGTAATCGATGAGGCCTGAATTTGGATCCGTTTCAAAAACAGTGCACGCTCCTTAAAAGTCTTACTTTGCTGTAGCCTGACATGAGACAAGGACAGACAACGAAAGAACACCTGAGGACACACACCGCTGTGCATTACTAAAATCTTGTCACACTGAAGCAACTTTTTTTGTTTTGTTTTATCACCAGTTCACTTTTTTTAAAAAATGAGGGCTTCGCGGAGAATCTCATTAGCTGATGCACTCATGCATCAATGCATACGGGAATAGTCCTGGCACTTACAACCAATAAGCGCACTTCAGTACTTTTCAGCATGTTGATCCCGAACTTAATTTTTGAGGGACGAAAAGCTCGTCCGAAGATGTCATAAAGCTGTGTGTGGTGATCAAGCCGGGAGGTTTGTAAGCATGAAATTGAATCAGTTTGCGCACTTAAGCATAGCAGGACAAATTTCAAAGCAGAAATGCCTTAGCAAAGAGGCCTGCGAGAATCATTTATGCTGCTGGGCGCGTTACAGTTCAAACGCCTCATACCATAGGCGAGCGCTGCCAGCAGGGAGGGAGGGGGAAGGTTCATTGCAGCAACTCTCCCACAGAACAAATTTATGGGCACAATTTGCCCCCCCCCCCCCTGTTTAGTCGATTAGGGGTGGCGGGTGGCTGCTCTCTCTTCCCCCTCGTGCGCACAAGTATACCCACAGCAATTCGCAAATCGCCAAAATAGATGCACCAAGTATACCCAACTTGCCGGGGGCATGGCGCCAGTAAATTAAGAAAAGATGGATCATCTCAGCAGGGAAACCAAGGCTACGCATGTTTCTATTTTGCACTACCAACACGCTCCAAGGCGGCGCCGATCGTTTTGTGAATATCAATGGAACCGCATTTCTGGGTCAATAAGTTGCGAACCATACCTCCAAACATCTCCAACACCAAGCACACACGTGACCGATGTCAGCGAAACTAGCTCGATTTTACCCGGTTAAAGTATTTCTCTATATTCTTCACGACATACGAGGAAATAGCGTCAGACACGAAGAAGCGTTAGCGAGTTTCACGTATACGTAGTTGACGGCTATACGGCGGAAAGGTCGGCGACACTCCACGTGCAGGTGTGACGCTGACGAAGAAGGGTTGACGCGGTCTGAATGTTACGCGCAGCATAGATTGCCAAAGAGCGCGGGCCTGGGTGAATGGCTTTCTTTTCGAGGTTGCAAGTAGCGTCTATACGTACAGGAACGGCCTTTATCTCTCTTTTTTTTTCCCAATTTATATTTCCTACGCACACGCTCTCTTAGCAGACGGCTCAGATTCTCAATTTATGTTCGTGCTCAGCAGCCGGACATAAAAAAGTTAGATTGTTTCGTGAGAAAGCTGGTGAACAAGGTGTAGGTACAAGGTGCAACAGTAATCACGTCGTTCTGAAAAAGATACCAGAAAAAAATATAAAAAATGAACACACAAAAAGCCTCGTTAAATATGAAGTGAGCAGATATCACGTAGTTGAATCACGTCGTTTTACTAAAGAAATTAGAAAAGAAAAAAGAAAGCACAATAAGTGAAGAATAATTCAGAAGTAAATTATCTGCAGATGATAAAACGTTGACAGTTGCTGAAATCGAACGCAGGTACAAAGCAAAGAAACTAAAATTCATTAATATAACTGCAGTTTATAATTTCCACCGATCGACGGGGACGCGGATGCTGACAGCATTTTGACGAAGACTGTCCCACCGTTAAATGACGCGTGTCAAGGTTGAGAGGAGGAAAGACTTACGATCAGGAAAGAACTGCCAACGTCCACCTGAATCGGTGTCGCACACCAGCCGCATGGCTTGGCACGCTTTTGGAGCGAAAAGAAGTGCGCTTGTAGCCTAAGAAGGTTGGCTAAATTCAGAGAAAGTATAGCAGCGATCAGGCGGGCATGGTTAAAAACGATACAATATTGCACACCTCGTTAAGACATGTTGGTAAGGGATGCGCATATGTGGCAACAGATATTTTTATCCTAGTGAGTAAAAGCCTTTCCATAAATTTGTAATTACAGCAACCAATAAATAAATAAACATGGAATAAACATGGAATAAACATGGACGGCATGAGCGTAACCAAAGGCGTATAGCCGAAATTTTTCAATTTTGCTTGCATGAACATACATAAAGCATAATTGACACCCCTCCCCGAAACAAATTTCTGGCAATGCTATTGCCGGACGGGCACTTCCATGTAAAGTGTCCGAGCATGCTACAACACAAACGATTGCCCAACAGGAAAATTCACGCAACATAAAGCTGACATGTTCAGACAGCAGATGCTCGACACTTACAAATAGGAAGTTTGGCAGATTGGGCTAGTTAATATGACATGAATATAGTTATAGCGCGAGAACAGAATGACAACAAAGAGACGAAGTGTCCTTCGTGTTCTTCTCAGTGTCTCTTTGTCATCGTTCTGTTCTCGCGCTATAACTATCGTTACAAATAAGATCTATCTTGATTGTTCTACGTAAGTGTTCTGTTTCACAAACTGATTTCAGGTGTGAATTTTATAAGCAAAAAATATGCGCTGCACAAACATTATACTGTCGTATTGACTCCAACATGACTCGGAGATACCTGCTAAATACATATTTAGCGCCATTTTAAATAAATTTGGACGAATCTTAGTGTCATGTTACAATAAATTAACTTTAGGCTTTATTTTTGCCTTCGTTTTTTACATTACATTATTTTTAAAGTGAGGGAATGCAGTCTACTTTTACTGCTCAAGTGGCATAGGCAGGTGCGTTGACACCTAAACACGAAACAGACACAAACCTTGTACACTACCGTGACAAGTGCTCATTCATTCACTTATCGTTGTTCGTGTTCGTAGGTGCATCCAGAAAATATACCGTTACACAGCGGTATCTTTCGTAGTAAGAATGTATAATATATCAATGTATAGTACTAAGATCCATGACAGTATTGATATAATATATTGTCCAAATGCATTTAGTTAGTGCCCCTTAAACCTCCATTTTTTTTTTCAGGCCAGCTTTCTAGCTGTGTAGCATCAGGCTATTTCCTTATAGGAAGG